TTGTTTCCGACAACGTTTTATGTAGTATTATGTTATGTTAGCAACAGTTTTTTGTTGAAATCAGGAGAGGAATACTATTATATTGTTGTTTTGATTAACTCCTCAGGTTTGCATATTTAAAGTTTTTTTTCACTTAAATTTTGTTTTTGTTTTTATGAATGAGGGGTGGTGACTTAACTCGCTGTTGCTGCTATATGTATATTGGTTTTGGTTGAGTTTATTCCCGACCCAGGTGGAAAAAGTTATGGGTGTGAGCTCTTTTAGTTAGTAGCAGAGGCAAGGCATGTAGTAAATCTTTATATGGATGGATGTTTTAGTGGTAGGTTTTTATATGATTCTCTTAAAATAAAGCAATTTGGTCTTTTATGGAATATGTTGGCCTTTCAAATTTGAGGTACACAAATGTTGTATGGATGGTTTGTTTTGGAAAAAGGAAATAATTTTGTAGAAGCAGACTACGAGATTGATACTTCTGACTTCATATGCAATGTTAAGGTTCTATGCCTATTGAAATGATTGTCTTTTATTAATGTTAAAGAAATCATTGAGTTAATTGCGTTTGGTAATTTACCACTGTGGGCTGGGTAATTTACTGGCTTAGCTAGCCCTAAAACAATTACAACGCCTAGTCTATAGCATTGGATTAAAGTCAGGATATGGGCCATGGCATTGGATTAAAAGTCTGCATCGACCATGGGTTATGGACATTTCCGCTATTTCTTTGTAATGTGATATGGATTATCAAATGGCTAGTTTCAAGAAAATCTGAAAGTGTAACCGGTTATTGGCATTGGGTTAAAGTCCGCATGAATCACGGGTCCTTTCTGCTATTTCTTTGCAGTGTGATACGGATTCTCAAACGCCTAATTTCGAGAAAATCTCAAGTGTAACCGATTATTGGCATATCTTTTAGAGTATGATTAAGAGATGAACGAAAGCAACTGTTGCTCTTTCTCACTTTCTATCATCTTGACCTACCACCTTTAGAACAAAGGGCTTCACTCACTAGGACATGTTTCAACCGTTTCAGCTGACTTGTAAATAAATAAATAAAACTGTTTCAGCTGCAAAATGTGTTGTTTCAAATTCATAAAAATAAAGGTAAAATCTGATCTGGTCTATGGTAAAATCTTCTAAAACCAGAAAACTGTTGTGTGGTGGTTTCTTAAAATTGGCGAAAACAAGGTTCGAATTCGATGAGTGGCTCATGGGTACACATCCAATGTAATGTATACAGACCATACATATCTTATCTTATACATATACTTATTAATACAAGAAATTAGACCAGCTTATTTTTTTTATAAAAACAAAATCAACATTAAACATGTTATTACACTGTTTTTGGGGATTAAACAATTAAAAGGAAGAAGAAAAAAAGGTGTGATAGCTCACATGTTTTCTTTTTTATGCATGCCTCGATCACTTGAACCATATTTTTTCTGCCACTGAAAATCCAATGTAGGCTGCCGTCCATATCATGGAAGGAAGGAAGCCAATTTGAGTTTTGGTCCCTCTTCTTCACTAACACTAACGCTTTCTTTGTGTTCTCTTCAGTAATTATAATCTCTCAACTCACGAGAGCATGTATACATTGTATGATGTACAATTATTCTACACTCACTCACTCAGCCACTTGGTTATAAAACCTTGAAGAAAATTAAATAAAAAAGCTTATCAGATTGACATCATTTGTAGGTCATCTTCCAGCAACCGAGAAAGAGCACGTGTGCAAGACAATGTGACGGCATGTCACTCGAGTGCATTGCCCTTTTTACGACAACTACATGGTGAGCAACCCACATTACCAAAAATGATAAAAGGTTGAAAATTGACAGTGGATTTTGTCCTCAATCCCATTTTGTTTTCAAGGAAATTCCAATTGGGGGAAAAAGAAGAAAGGTATTTTGCTCCGAGAGAGAGAGAGAGAGAGAGAGAGAGAGAGAGAGAGAGAGAGAGATTTTCCTGGTAATAGTGGGGAGCACCAGCACCAAGCACGCCTTCATCACTCAATGTGTTTGTGACCCAAAACGAAAAAGACAATTTTAAATTGGGAAGGCAAAATGCAATTGCAGACAAACCAACAAGAGTCGTGATGATTATATAAATGGGCCTGCTTGCTTGCTTTATTTTTTAATGTCTTGTTTTGGTGGATTTGTACGTAGGTTAATAGCAATTGTGTGTCATTTCTCATTAACTTTGAATTGAAAAATCTAAGAATATTCCCCTTGCAAAAGTCCCCATTGCATAGCATAGTCTTATATCTTTTGTCTTGCTCTTGGAACAAAATTTAGGGTTTCCCCAGGTTAGGTTACTGGTTTTTTTTTTCCTTTGTCTTCCTAGCTATAATCTACGTGAAAATGATAAGTTACACAAAACCCTAGTAAAAAATTTGCAAAGTAACATGAAGATAAACTACATAATCAAATGCCACGACACGAATGATCATTATCTACTAGATTCTTTATGTTGACCTTATTATTTTTTCCATGGAAAATGTATAGAAATTAGAAAAAGCTTTGACTTGGTGTAGGGAGCCAACCACAATCTATTAGACTATATGAAAGCAAGCCAGGCCATTGACTTACTTACTTAACAAAGACAGCAACTAAAAGGTAGACTAATTACCTTTGGCTACGTTTTTAATATTAATTCAACCAAAACAAAAAAAAGGCCCTAAACTAAATATATCATTGTGAGCCGCCCTTTCAATGAACACAGACCACAACGCCTCATGGGTTTTCATTTAATCATCTTGTGTTGTCTGTGACCCTTGTCTCCCCATTAATGTTACGACCATTCTGCTTTTTCAAGCTAAAATCTAAATTGTAACCTTCAAAGGCAATGCAGACATGATTTTAGTCAAGTTGGTTAGAGCAGATGTGCTCCTTACTTTGCACTCGAGTTCGAATTCCCCTCCTCTGTAATTTAAATTAAATTAAAGTAGAATATCATTTGTGCTATAAATAAAAAGGCCAATGGAAGAATAATTAGAGCAATATGTTCCTCTTTTAAAGACTTATATCATCTCAAAAGGACTAGATCGAGATTAGGGCAATAAAAATCATGAAAATTGATACTTAACGTGTAACGCTTGCACAAGCTATAGCATTATAACTTGTAGCCTTCTTTTTCCTCTCTTTGGTATTTGTTTTCTGACTATTAAAAACTTCAGTTGACATGAGAACTCCACGCAAGCAGTAAGACATGGGCTTCGAGCATTGTTCCAACAAATCCTCAAGGAGAGACATGTGGCACATAGCGGTGGCTTGCATATTTTAAGGAAAAAAGGTCACCAAAATGTTTATATGCGGGTCAATTAAATATGCTATTTGACCCCCAATGTTATTGAGTTTTTCTAAGTGCAGGGACATGGTGTGTGATAAGATGCCTCAAAAGACATTCCATAAGGGAAAGGAGAATGATGTTCACTTGTTCATATTTAATATTATAAGCTTCATTGTTATATTTTCGTAGTGAGATGTCGTTGAATTCATATATGTTTTAAAATAGAGTAAGATCTAAAAGTTTGGAAACTTGTTTATTGTTTTAAGTTCCCTAATGGTTATCTCAATTTAAAATGGAACTCGTGCAAGCAAAAACAAAAACCAAAGGCTTTTAGCGTTTCAGCATAGCTTGAAGGCAAATGGGTCATTTGGTCATTCGAGAGATGGCATGAAAGAAATCATAATGCACATAATAATAAAGAAAGAAAGAAAGAAAAAAAAAAAAGATGGGATGGGGAGGAAGATGATGAGGAAAGCTTAGGAAAACGTAGTGTCGAAGAGTGGGTGTTCCACAAACAAACATAAGCTCAGTGGAGTCACCCCACGCTCAATGAGCCCGAGCTCTCTCTCTCTCTCTCTCTCTCTCTCTATATATATATATAGTGTAATGTGGGGCCCATAAGCAAATCCACATTTGATATTGGGCCCACAAGAAATCCCAATGACGTGGGGCCCATCATATAATCCCCTCCCAGGCTTTTGCTTAGTGGGACATGGGTACACCCCACTACTACACAGGCTTGTGGGCGAGTAACCAGAGGCCTAGCAATATGGATAAGTCACCCACCCATCCCCATTTTACGACAACGGGTGGGTGCCGAAAGAAAAAAACAAATATATAAATAAGGCAGGCCAGCCCATAAAATCCATAGTGGGGTTCATCTCCATGCGTGTAATTGTTCGGTTTAACATTTACATCATCATTTGGTGTAATTCGTCTATTTATATTATAACACGTGTATATACAGATATTTAAATTATATCTAAATTTGTGCCATATCAATCTCATTATTCATCGTGGGACAGTTTCATGTGTTAACTGTGTAACACAACACCACCACGCGTAAGTTTTGTGCACTTGACTTTGGCCCCACAACAACTCACACCCTCCTTCTGTCAAAGATTTGTATCAAACAAATCAGTCTAGTTTGCAATTCTAACACGTTTTGCAAAGATTGCAAACTTGGCCTGCCGTGTTTCTAAAACTTGCTCAACCAAGCTCAACTTTGTAACCGTAATTCAATGTGGCCAACCAGTCATACTCAATTCTATGAATTTCAATACAAGTTTAGAGTGACTGACTGACTACTTTTTATAGAAAAATTATGCAGTTTGTAATTTTATACTCATGTATTTTTTTTAAAGTAAATACAATTGTAAAGAATCTCAAAGTAATTATCTCCACAGATTGTTACTTCATTATTATGAGTTTAGATTTTTATATTCCAGGCATGGGCTTGCATAGTAATTCTGCTGGTGTGAAGGGTAACAGAAAGTTCGTGATGCTGCTAGCTACTGACAAAATCATTACCCGTGCAACTAATGCTTATAGATCCTCCTGGTTTAGATTAACAGCAGTGTGTGGAGTTTTTTTATATACATTTAATTTATCAAAGTGGGGTTTTTTTGAAAGTGGCTGTCTTGAGAGAGAGAGAGAGAGAGAGAGAGAGTTACTGTGTCACTATATAAAGCAGCTAAGCCCCTCCCCTCTCTCCTTATGCCAACCTCCTCCAAACCACACCTCTCTCTCTCTCTCTCTCTCTATCTCATTTCTTCTTCAAACTTCTTCATCAGTCTCTACTATTCTCCTCCATAATCTCTTGTTTGTGTTTTTGCTCTAATTAAAATGGGTGAAGCCGTCGAGTTTTTCCATGCAAATGGTTTCTCTAACTTGACCCAAAAATTTGATCCTAAACTTGTACTTAATGTTAATGGTAACAGCCACTTAGACAGAGATGGTTCCTGGTACGAAGAAACCATTGACGATGATCTCAAATGGTCGTTTGCTCTCAATGTCAATGGGTTCGTATAATTCCACTTCCTTAACTAAGTACGTGTGTTATTGTTTCTCTGTTTTATTTGAGACTCTGTTTTTGTCTATGGCTGTGTCTCTGCAGAGTGCTGCATAAAGGGACGAGTGAGTTTCAAGAGATAGCCTTGTTGGATACAAAGCGTTTTGGGAAGGTTTGTTCATCTCATCATTCATTTGTGAATGTCGTCTTTCAAAGGTGCAATTAATAATTAATAATGCCGTTTTTCCTAATTGTGATACTAATAATATCGTATTTATATCTTAATTGATTCAGGTTTTGGTGATTGATGGAAAGATGCAGAGTGCAGAAGTGGACGAATTTATTTACCATGAATGCTTGATACATCCTGCTCTCTTATGCCATCCCAAGTCAGTCATCCTCTCCATATATTCATCCTTGTTACCTGTTTTGTTTTTTTTTTTTTTTCAATACATGCGAACCGATACAAGGAGATAGGGAATTCGAATCATAACCGAGCTACAAACCCCTTGCTTTTATATTGTAATCGTTAGTAACTTAGAATGTTTTTAGAAATATTAACACTTTTTGTTTTGTTTTAATTTTATAAATTGTAAGGAGATGTCATTCCAATGAATAAAGAATAGCAGAGGGTCTAATTATAAAGTGTGTTTTTTCAGTTTTCAATCACTTGTCAGAGGCTTTTCTTACATTTTGATTGACGGGAATAAATAAAAACATTTATAAGGTGTGACAAAAATTTATTCGTATTCTTTGTTTTGTTTCTTCTTTTTGTATGGGGTACAAAAATTGATTCATATTCGTTTGCTTCTATTCTACCTTTAATTAAGCAATTGAGATTGAGAATGTGCAGGCCAAAAACTGTATTTATAATGGGAGGTGGAGAAGGGTCAGCCGCAAGAGAAGCTCTCAAACACAAATTACTGGACAAAGTGGTAATGTGTGACATCGATCAGGTATTTCTTTTTCTTTCTTTTTATTTTCATCAAGTGGTGGACCAGCTTTATTTGTTGAGAATTTGTTTTAATATAAATACCGTGTTATCATATGGGTGAATGATATGGTTTATTTTTCCTCATTTTTAAATATAATATATATATATAAAGCAAAAGACAAAGAATTGTGAAACATTCAAAATATCAGAAAATGTTATTTGATTAATTCAAACATTAATAATTGAAATTATTAATTAAATGAGGATAATAAGGTAAATTCATATTTTTTATATTAAAATTAAAAATAAAATTAGATAATACGTCCTACTTTTATGGAACATAACTACCGGTGTTATCTTTTTTTAATTCTAAATAAAAAATAAAACTATGCTACCGTAGTATTCACTCAACAAATAGAGCACGTTGATGCTTATATTTAAACGAATTCTCAACAAATAAAGCTGAGGGAATGTCCTAAGTTTTCTGTGTAAAATAAAATCATTGTAAATATGTATATTGTTGATATGACATTGAACAACAAAATAAAACTTTTGGGCCACGTGACATATTTGCAGGAGGTGGTTGATTTCTGCCGCAGACATTTGACAGTGAATCAGGAGGCATTTTCTCATAAGAAGCTTAATCTTGTTATAAATGATGCCAAGTAAGTGTACATAATTTTTGCTTTTTATAAATAAAACGATTCGAACTTAAGAACTCTTTCAATTTTGTGAAGATATATAGTTAGCTCAATGAATGTCTTATAATAACCAAACTTATTATTTTGGTTACAGGGCTGAACTGGAGAAGAGTTGCGAAAAATTCGATATCATAGTAGGAGACTTAGCAGACCCAGTTGAAGGAGGGCCTTGCTATCAACTCTACACAAAATCTTTCTATGAGCAAATTCTCAAACCTAAGCTTAATCACGGTGGCATTTTTGTCACCCAGGTAGATAATCAGTTTGTCTTTTTAATTTCAATTTTTCACACCAACGTTTGAGAAACATGAAACATATATTCTGTTTGACATGCAGGCTGGACCAGCAGGCATTTTCACCCACAAAGAGGTCTTCACCTCCATTTTCAACACAATCAAACAGGTCTTCAAGTGTAAGTATCTACCCTACATTTACACACACACACACACACACACACATATATATGTATGTATATATTCAACCCAAAAAGCTAGCTTATGTTCCCTGGTCTTATTTTTTTTACATGTTTTTTGCAGATGTGGTGGCATATGCAGCTCACATACCATCTTTTGCAGATACATGGGGATGGGTTATGGTATGTGAACTCAAAACGCATTAATATTTAATTTGCACTGGTCATTTTGATTATGAGTTTATAATTATTTGTAAATGTTGTTGTAATCAGGCCTCGGATGAACCGTTCTCTATCAATGCTGAGAAAATGGACAGAAGGATAGAGGAAAGAATTGATGGGGAACTGAACTATTTGAATGGTGCTTTGTTCATCTCCTCTGCAACCATGAACAAAACTGTTTCTTTATCGTAAGATCACTTCCTTCACCATCATACAAATTATGCCGTGAAATTATTGCTCAAAAACAATTTATTAATTGGATAACATTGTGCCATTTTAGGCTGTTGAACGAAACTCATGTCTACACTGAGGAAGATGCAAGATTTATTCATGGACATGGGGTGGCTTACCGCATCAACTGAGGTCTCAAGCCACAGGTTGGGGGAATTGCTGTACAGCAACAAAAACAAAACCAAAAAAGAAAAACACCAAAGTGATGAAGAATGGGAGTTTGACAGTCACTGATTTCTTCAAAAGAACAAAAGAAAAGAAAAAAAAACAACAATTGTTTGCAGCATTTGGTTTTACACTAGAATATGTTAGCTTCATTGGGTTGTTCATAGGATTCAAAGTGAGAGACCTTTTTTCAAGTTATCTTTTATGAATGAAACATGATGAGGCATTCCTCCATTCCTTATTAGAAAGCTTTCATTTTCTTAGCAAGTGTTTGAAGCCCACAGTGGCTTTATCTAATTAATTGTTATAAACAATCAAAATCTATTCACTTGAAAAACATATTTCATACAATCATCCAGAGTTGCACATCATACTAAAGATACAGAAAACAGAAAAGACAGATAATTGAGGAAATATTTTCAACCTCTCCTTCAGGTTCTCTTAACTGGGTCGAAGTTAGAGACCCCAACAACAGCTCCTATAATGGCTGTAAGCACAACTCCACCAGCAGCAATGCTAAGCAAAAAGTTGTTGAGAGAGGGTGTGAGGCCAGAGCCTGCAGCCTCAGCTACCTCAGGTATCACCATGGAGGCTGTCAGTGCAGCTGCTGTTAGGCCTGTCACTGCCTTTTCTTTGAAAGATGCCTCCACCTTAAGCATGCCTTTGGACTTTGGCTTCACAAAAGCAGCCTTCTTTGATGGCCTGACTGGGACTGATTTGAACAGTGATGCAGAGTTAGACTGGTTTAGTCTGTTTTGGGTGGCAGACATCAGTGGGATAGCCATTGAAGCAGAAGCCATTTCTTTTGGTGCTAGCTAATGGATTTTCTCTTTGCCTAGAATGCAAGTGTAGGTGTTGGTATATTTGGAGTTGGGCTTGGAGTTTAGATATTGGATGAGCAGTGGAGGCAATGAAATGGGGGGTGGAAATTAGAGATTTTCAGCTGATGTGTCTCTTCAGAGTTGACCTATGTGGCAAAATCTCTACCTGGGTTTGAAGGATAAGGTTATCCCCTGGATTTGATCCTCTCCCTTTTGAAACTGGAATTCAGGATTTCATTGAGAAAGCATTTCATATATATGCATGGCACTTGGCAGGCCACATATGCTTTTGGATTGTCATGCCACGTCATGTGCTCATTTGGGCTTTCAAGTGCCTCTCAGTGAATAGAAAACTCAGTTTTTGGAGTCTAGCTTACAAATGATCAATTGACTCTAGGGGCAGAGACTTCTTAAAGCGTTAGAAGAAAATAAATGTAAAAGGAGAGGTTAATGGTCTGTGACCAATAAGCATCACCATTGTTTGTTTGTTGCTATCAAAGTCATCTGCCAACACCTTCCAGGATTTGAGCTTTCAAAATTTGCAGACATGCCTGAAGAATTTTCCATGTAAATCCAGAAAACTATACTATTTCTCTGAAGAAACATAAATTGAGCAGCTAAACATAGGGGCAAATCCAGTTAAAATATACTGCCTTCTTCAAATTAATAAGTCTAAAGTCACCATTCACCACCAAAAAAGTACCAGAGAGAAGAAAAATAGAAACTAAACAACATTTCATATCATATTCATTCCTAATCTAATCCACAGCAGTAATCTCATCTGTCTGCTAAAAATGGAGGTTCCACCTCCAAAATTCTACTAACTAAAGGAAAAGAAGTAAAATCATCAAGAGGTCTTCTTTTTACCCCGCAGTAAATCATTTGCTGGCAACAGTTGCATCTATTTTAGTTTGAGTAATATGAACTTCTTGGGGCAGCAGATTGTATGTGATGTTTAGCTCTTCTAATATTTTCTTCAACTCGATGACTAGTTCAGTTCGCCGCTTATTCTTTTCTCCAAATTCCTGAAAGTTCATAGTGTGATTCACATAGAGACCCATCTTTAACTTATTCAGATTTTCAATTTCAACCACCACCAGATTGTGGTTAGGATGCCAATGTTGCGAGTTCCTCTCCAAATGCCTGAAGAAGCAAAAGGAAATTGCAAAAGAGTAAACACAGAGCAGCAGTACAAATTGATGCTAGACTGTCCACTCAAGTGTAATCATGTGTGAATGTGCAGTGCAGTCTGTATGATATAGCAATTGTGATTGGTAGTCGAGTAGCATAACATATAAATTTATTTGAGAAGAAATTAAACATGTGTATGTTTATAGACGTGCCCGCACATACAAAACAAGTAAAAGCTTCAATTAACTCACTTCTTTATTTTCTCTTTCAGCAAGCCTATCTTCTCCACCGAGGTCATAAAAGCAATCGAGAATTCCACAATATCACCCATATCTGGACTTCTGTAATAATTGCTGATGGGTTTCATGGATAAAACGGAATTTGGATAATAAATCTTCTCATTATTGAGTTTCAAGAAGACTGTGTTTAAGATGTTCATCTCCTCAACCATCAACTGTCAGGTTACCAGGTATTAGAAATTTGATTAAGTAAACTCCACATAATGAAATAATAGTAGTGAAAGTTACCGGAACGCCATCAACAACACAGCGGTCACCAACATCAAATGGATGCATTACAAATACAAAAATGATAGCCTCAAATATTGTCTTGCAAGTGTTTCCAAACATAAAAGCTGCCACTACGAGCTGTGATGAGAGGAAGACAAGGACTTTTGTGGTTGCAATTTCCATCAATAGAAGCCACACTACAACGGTAATAACAACCAGGATGCCAGTCACAAGTTTATTCAATTGCCTTACAGCTGTTTTGGTGTCATTTAAAGAATGAGCTAATGCTTTGCGACCATTGTAGACCTTCACCTGCAAAAATAAGAAGGTAAAATATGTTTCACCTCTTATTTCATTTTGCCAGGAAGATGAAGGGAAAAACTGTAAACAGAAGCAGACTCAAGTTACCAAATTCTCTTTCTCCATCCCCTGCTATATGCTTTTAGATTGAATGATATGCATGATTTCATAATAGGGCATGTATATGTATGATGCAGAAGTAGAACTCCATGACTACAGTATCAATAACTACCACTCAATGTGGAACTCAAGACAAATAAAAATAAAAGGTCTTACCACCCAATCTGTTAGAGCTTTTCTGTCAATACGTCCGGTGTCTGCTCCTTCAAACAGCGGAAACACAAGATCCACCTCTTCCTTAATCATGAACCTCATGAGGTCCTCCTCCTCTATGTACCTAGTCAGATGTAAGATAGTTAAAATAAAAAAAGAACACATATGAAAAGGGCACCAGAATATCACAAATAACCGCTAAACAATAGGGTGGTCTTTCTCACTTGGAACCAGCTGGCGCAACGTTCAAAAAAATGTGATAGGCAGCGGCAGTTGCTTCCATCTCATTGGTAATCTCCTTATCCGTCTGTTCAATCCCTCCATGTTCCATCTCATCCAATGTATGGGAGATAGTGGACAGCCCTGAAGTAGAAACTGCATCCACCAATACCTTCATGGTCCAAGCTGAAACCTTCTCTTGCTTCATCTTCTGAAGCTTTCCCATATCAATCACTTCTTTCTCCTTCCCAGCTTTAGCCTTCTTTGTCGTCCTGAAACTCAGTTGCCCAGTGCTCGGTGATCTCCCAACCCTCTCAGCTTCCTCTATAAGTGCAGGCCCTGAAAGTGTCTGAAGAACATACTGATGGAAGATTGATTCTTGGATTCTATCAAAAAAGGTGTTCACATGGAAACTAGAAGCTAGGATCTTAAGTAACAAAGTCTTTAACAACCACAAAAATGCCCCAATAAGAACGGAAACAAGAGTCCATGTGACGTAATTCAAAATCTTGGTGGAAGTCTTTGATCGCTGGACCTTGCCACCATTGAACACCAGTAGCCATGTGAGAAGAACCAAAGCCAACCAAATGAAAACCTGAACACTCTTCTTCATTCCATGAACAAAATACAACACCTTCTTCCTAAGCAAAAAGTTCCTCTCAATGACAAACACTACGAAATGCATAAACCAGTTTGTAACCAACATGCCACAGAATATCACCATCACAAGCACACACCATTTCCATACCTCCAACCCCCACATGTTAAAATTCTCTAATTTCTCAACAGTCAAGCTAGACACTAAACAAGCCAGAATGCCCAGAAAAACAACCCACTCGAACAAGACCTTAGTCTTCACTTTCCTATGCTTATCTCTACTCAATTTCACCTTCTTGTAAATCTCTTCATCCTCCTGCTCTTTGACCCTGCCCGGAGACGGCATCACTGGTACCCTCGAAGAGATTGAAACAGTCCTAATCCCTGGGGAAGCCCTATTGAATGAACCCCTATATGGGGAATAGGGGGAATTTGCACCAACTTGATCTAGACCACTCTCTTCAAACATATTGGAATCAATGGGTACTGATTGTTCACCAAACCTTGACTTGGGTTTGGAAACTAACCTAGTGAATGACTTTCTCTTAGTGAGGGTCTCATTTGCGGTGGGGATCTTGGGAGGCTTACCGGGACTGGATCTTGAAATTTCAGGGGAAGGGAAGCTCACTGGGACTGACTTAGAAACCCCAGTGCTGGACTCAGTGGACCCTTTCGCGGGTGAGCCCACTTTGCTTGGCTTGGGGGCAGAAGATTCCGAGCCTTTTGAAGAAGACCCTTTTGCTCCATTGCTAACTTCGGTTCGAACTTCCAATACAACTTCACCTCCATTGGCAGAATGCTTCTCCGACATGCTTACATCGCCGCCTTTTAAAGCTTTCTCCTCTGTGGCTTTCATTAAAACCCTACCACAATAAACACCCAGAAGAGCTCGCATTAAAACCTCAACAACCAAAAAAAAAACCAATATGAGGCACCGGATACAGAATCACATTTAAAAATGTGAACTTTAAGAACACTTTTGGTAGATACTCCCCATTCTGATCTTCATTTCTTTTTCTTTAAAGGTTTGAGCTTTGTGCATTGGCTTTCTAACAAAACTATAATAAGCTGATTCTATTTAAGAATAACAGGCAAAGAAGTTATCTTAGCGCCAAAAATATCAAATAAAAAACTAAATATAGTCTAGAACAGTAGGAAGGAAGACTCTGCTTATTTTCCCTGAATATGCATAACCAAACTTACCGGTGCTGTCCACGAAGAACCCACCAAGGAAAAGCTGGAAGGCCACTTGCTGAAGAGGAGGTCGCAGTGATTGTTGATTCAGTAGTGCAAAGCAATTGATCAACTGGGAAAAAAGTAAACTTCGAATGCAGAAAAGACCCCAAAAAAAGGCCTTGATTGAGTTCTTAGCTATTATAGACTTGGTGATGATGCTTGCAAAACTTGAAAAGAAGAAGACTGTGGTGATGCTCTTGGAGCTTAGACCAGAGTGAGAAAGTGAACGAGCAAAGGAGGAAAGAATGGCTGCAGAAGTCAGGGACAGAAAGATGCAGAGGATTCAAATGTTAGAGGAAATGCGAATTCCTAGGACATATAAAAATGTTTAACCACGTGGTGTTCCTGGAAAAATAAACAAAGAAATAATAAGATTTTTTTTTTTTTTGGGGGGTCAAGAAATAATAAGATTTCTTTGATGACAAGAAATGATAAGATTTAAGCACAATAAGAAAGGTCTTAAATTCTTAAATTCTTAATTAAAGTTAACCAGTCACATGCCCCAGTTATGATAACAGCATCAGCGTTACCTTGCCTTCTTATGGTAACATTAATATTGCTTGATAAAGACATATTATTAAGGTAATGAATGTTGGATTTGGAAGACTAAACGAGGGCAAAAATGGAATTTGGAGCATGAACTTTTAGTTGTTGTGAGTTAATTAATTAATAATTGTAATTGGCTTTACGGGTGTTCTCTAGCCACAAAAAACAAGTAGCAAGTATACCAAACATTGGTTGTTAAAAGTGGGAGAAAAACTCTCATGAAACGGGTATATGTAGAATAATTAGGGATGGTAATGATATGTAGGATAATTAGGGATAGCAAAACAATACTATTCCCGTTACATGTAAGATTTTTTGAAAAAATATAAGAGAGACTGGTAGAGTTGACGTTTTTTTGAAGATTATCTTCATTATTTAAGTCATAATTAGTGAATTAAAAAAAAATCGAAGTG